GTAAGTGTATGCTCCCCAAAGGGTGCACGATATCATCGGAAAGCTTATCAGAGGAGAAATCGAGCGATCGAGCAAGTGTTCAACTACATTAAATGCCTTGAAAGCTTCAACAAACATGATATTGACCAAAGCCCTCGTGTCTACCAGGATTCGTCGTACTTCAAAGTTGGCTATATGAGCTTCCACGATCAGTGGGTCATTATGAGGGTAAATGATACCTCTTTCTTCCTCAGGGTAGAAACATATTAGATCCCAGTTAAGCTTTTGATATTTGCCTCCTCTGATGTCTTCCACGTGAAACACTTGGTGGCCAGACCTTAAAGCTCGTTCACTATTTTTCATGGCCCTGTTGGAAGATTTAAATATGGGTGTGCCACCACTTATGGAATATATCACATTCACCTGGCGTTGGTTACGGTTACCCCTTGGAGGGTGAATGAGGAATTGATCAATTTTTCCTTCACGTGCCAAAGCTTCAATATGATCACGATGGGTGATACACTTCTCGCCGTCATGGCCGTTATGCTCGTGGTAAGAGCAAAACGTGCCCGTGTTCTTCGTGGGCTTGTAACCCGACTGCCTTGGCATTGGCTTTGGTATCAGGTGTGTTATCCTGGGGTAAATGGTCATGCATGTGGTGTGCAAATGTGTGTATGTCTCATACCTCGGGGTAGGGCATGTCCTGACACATGTTTGGCCTATTGTTTTGACTGCCTGGGGGCGGGCATTATCGTGACGATACCCTTGGTTATCGCGATAGTATCCCTTACTTCTTTTACTAAAATGAGACTGGTGATGATGGAAATCTTTCCTTTTGCCCTGAGATTGATATGTCTATTGACTTGGCGAAATATTAAGTAAGGCAAAGGGAGGCACTACTGCCCTTTGGAAGGTCGAAGTCTTCTCATTTGGTTGGATCTGGCTTCCACTCCCTACTTGCTGATAAAGGGTGACTGTGGGGGGTTTCCCTTGGTATGTCATTGCCTCGGCGGAGGCATGGTTATAAGCCTAGGCCATCACCTTAAAGTATGTCTTCCAAGTGTTGGCATTGATCATGTACTTAAAAAAACAGTCATGTAGCCCTGCCGTGAAGGCTTTGAGGGCAGTCTTGTCGTCTGCCTCGGCACAAGGGAATACTCATGGCTGAAGTGGCCAGTATACTTACGTAATGACTCGTCTAGCTTCTGCGAATAGTGTACAAGTCATCCGTAAAGTGCAAGCGATCGGTCTGGAAAATGTGTTGAGAAACAAACAATTTCCTCAATTCCTCAAATGAGTTTACCGTCTCAGGTGGAAGACGGCAATACCAGTTTAGAGCTCCACCAAAGAGGGTAGAGGGGAAGAGAAGACATCGCTCTTTGTCAGTGTGTATCCGGTATGCCATGGTGGACTCAAAGAGGTTAAGGTGTTCAATCGAGTCCTCCTTTCTAATATAGAGTTGCAAGCCAAGCTTCTGCTTTGTCTTTGCTTTGAGGGAGGTGTCGAGGATCCTTCTTGTAAGAAGGCCAGGCCTAGGTTGGTTCCAATCAGGTATCTCAGCTTGTCATTCGGCCTTCAACTTGTTTACTTCCTTAAGAAGCTGTAGGATAAGAGGGTCCTGAGTGGAGTCATGTACCACTGGAGCTTTCTTTCGTAAATCTCCATCTTCTCTTGGAAGTACTCGGAACATCTCTAAGTCCCCTATACCTTTGTGTTTCTCTAGGACTTGTTACCCCTTCCTCAAATTGGTAGCTGGCCTGGGACATAGGAGGGGACCGAGTCTTTCAGAGACCCTTGGGTCATTGATCTTCGAGCTTACATGGATGGGACTATCTCGACGTTGCTTTAGGAAATCTCGACAATTGCGAAAAACGGCTTTCGATCCTTCTACTCCTTCTGTAAGGAAGTGTCTTCCTCCACTTTTCCTGCTTTGGGTCGAAGCAGCTGGGTTAAGAGAAGTCTCATGTTAATCAATGTTTTTGATGATTAGCTCGCTCCTCATCAGGGATACCCATGTCGAAGGAAGGTGACCCTCCGTGTTGGGGGGCACCCAGATGATGGTTGATGTCCACAAGGGTAACAAGCTCGCGTGTTTGAGTACGCCTAATTTCGTGGAGCGTCTCAAAAAGCTTCTCATACTGCTCTTGGAGGACCTCATTCTTTATTGCTATCTTGTTGTTCTGAGCTTCTAGCTCATCAACTTTAGCTTGAAGAGCAACCCTATTTCCTTCCTTCTTTCATTGCCTCGCACCAAGTGCAAGACGGGTGTTATTCTGCGTGATGTGGCTTCCTTCGCTCCCCATGTTAGAGAGGGATGTCTGGTCAAAAGAGAGTGTACGAATGGTGGAAACCAACTTAACAAAGCTGAAGAGAGTGGGAATAAGTGTCGTTCCCATAGACAGCGCCAAATGCTGATGCACAAAATCAGTGAGGACTTTGGTACAACAGAAAGTGTTAAGTTTGTGACCTTCGCTAGATTACTCCGGTCACTAGCGTGGATAAGTATGTAAATGAATAGAGACAAGGAAGCAAACACAAGATGTACATGGTTCACCCAGATTGACTACGTCCACAGAGTAGAGGAGTTCTCATTAATTGTAAAGGGTTTACACAAGTACATAGGTTCAAGCTCTCCTTTAGTGAGTACTGGTAAATGATTTAGTACAAATGACATTCGGAAATATTGTGGGAAAATGATCTCCTTTTATAGAAGAGAGTTTCTAGCTTTGTTTTGACATTGACACGTGTCGTGTTGTGATTGACTTCTAATGTTGACACGTGTCGCGCTACGATTGGCTTCTAATGTCGACACATGTCGCGCTGTGATTGGCCTCCTGGTTAGAGGGAAACTCTTCTGGATCCTTGACGGTATAACGTTGACCGGTGCTCAGTAGTTTTGAGATTGGTCAAGTATGGTACAAACAACATTTAATTGCATTGAAAACAATAAAATGAAAATTTTATTATTAATTATAAGTCAAACCTAACCCACGTTACACTCTAAGAGGGTATTTTAGGAACACAAGAATTATAAAAACTAACATACCAAGCTTGTTAAGGAGATTTGCTTAGTTTGACTCTAGTAAATGGGGTTTAAGTCTGAAAAAATAAAGAGGATGGGTTTTAAGTGAGAGAAAATAAGTTTTAAGGGGAAACTCTCATTTTCAGTAAAAAAATTCATGCATTTGTTTCACACTACATATTTATGTTATTTATTATGTGTGAAACATATTCATTTAATAATAATAAGAATAGTTAAAATACAAGACTATTAACATTTCTCGATTTATCTCGAAATACCGGGTTCAGGCCCGGCAACAGAATTTTTTCTCCCCAAAAACGTTTCTCGATTTATGCTGTTGTCCTTTTGCAAAGGTCACGCTAATCTTCTTTGCACGAGTTCAATTTTATCAGATGCCGACGAAGGGACGAAATTTTAAAGCTGTTTGGGATATATTACACCGCTCCACGGGCTAGACAATTTACAAACAGCGTACAAATAAGCCGTGCTCTTGCTGCTAGTTTTCACCTGCCTAATGAGATAGTGCAGACTAGGTACGGACATGGAAAGGTGCAGTATTTTCTGATGAGAAAAGATTGTATTTATCTCTTGGACATCTTGTACCTGTAATCGTACTTGGTATATCAGTTCTAGTCCAGTGAGCTTATATGGTATATAGATAACTATCTTCTAAGATGAACCAAACATTACACACGTGAGGACTTGGTTACACTTTCAGGTGTTCCCACTTAATTTCGACACGTGCTATAGTATATATTAGTATGTGAGATGCATGGAAGGCATGAGGTCGATCTGCTTCAAGGTGCTCCTTTTTCTCTCTACTCTACTCTCTCTCTAACTCTCTCTCTCTCTACTTTTCAATAGTTTTTACCTATTTTCTCTGCACTTTGAATCTCATATTTACATTGCTTGTTCTGTAGTGAGTTCCTTTTTATCTCAGTAGACTTGAAATGGGATGAATTCTTGGCTGGTTTCTTCAATTGTAGAAGAGCATGTTTGCCGACGTAATGTTCTTCGGAGTCATTGATTCATTTTGAATCTCGGGCATTTAAGTTGAAGGGTTTTAATTTGGGATTAGGTTAACAGAATGCCATAATATTCTAAGATGAGGAAAAATCAGATGGATTACTCTAATGAGGTTCTCTTAGATTTCCATATTGAATAATGGGTGCGCTGACAAGTGACAGATTTGTGGCTGTTCACATTGCTTCTATCAGGGTTTAGGCATTAGAATCAATTTCTAGGCATTAGAATTGTTTCTCCTTCTTTTCGTCACATTACTTGTAAGACGGTTGGTTTCTTTAGTTTGGTTTCTTTCTTTGAAGACGGTTGGTTTTCCGTAGATGTAAGTTTGTTTTCATACCAAATATGATATCGAATCTATCATAAAGATCGATCTGGGTTCGGTACATTGTAGGCTTGAAAACTAGCGGGTGTGAATTCTGAACTGTTTTGTTATAATGTGAATCTTATTGTGATTTGAATCAGGCTAGATAGAGTGGCAGCTTGTAACCTTTGTTACAAAGTGTTGGGAATGCGATTGTTGACAGTTTTTAACCGCCGCGATGATTATTTCTTGACAGATAAAGACCATCAACAAACGCATTCCTACTTTCTGATTGTCCAAAAGAGATTGAGACACCACCAATACCCATTAATCTCCTCAGCGGTAATGCATCGATACAAACTATTAGTTTGTTCAGGTGATCAAATGACGAGATTGCAAATATTCAGGGAGCCCTGCTCTCCGCATTACTCAATTTACCATGAAGTTTAATTTGCCAACAAAGAAACTATGGAATTTAACAAGCTGGAAAGGAAATTAAAGGTGTTATTATATGTTATCGATGATCACTTAAACCTTTTTTTTTGCAATACTAATACTACTATTAGTGATCAACAACTTTCAGCAGTAAAGGATAATTTCAAATCAGCCACATCAAACAAGAACCTGTGATTTGCTTGTTGATAAGCTCCGAGTACGTTTAGCTGCAGATGTTCATCCAGAGGAAGAATCGTCATGCAGAATTGATTTTCTTGGATATACTCTCTGAATGTGCTTTTGCCTATCCAAATCCATATATGCATTTTCGAAATGCAGTGTGAGTTTTGGAAATTTATACCTTCCTCCTCTGTGTATCTCGTAGCACAAGTCATAATCTGCATGTTTCCTGGTGTTGTTTAAAGGGTTCCATCCGTAGGCGTCTTGAAAGTGACTTATCACAGCTCGTTTGAGGACGACATAGGCTTTGGCGGTGATGAAGCTATGTTGTGTTCCTGAATCAATAACTGTCTCACTTACAGGCTCCATGAACAACTTTGGATCTATTGGGACCAGTCTCCCATTGAAACGGATACCCTTCAACTGCACATAATATCCGCCCTGCCCCAAAATTGGTGTAGTCTGCACGTTAGGACCCGAAATTTGTGCAGCTTTACCAAAGTGTATCAGTGTTCCATTTGCTGATTCAACATCCATAACAGGCTTCAAGAAGTTACTAGGTGCCGTGTAGGCTAGGCCTAGAAGCCCTGCGATCGGGTTCCCTTCTGGACCTTGAGGCCCCGTATCAATATGGTTCACTATCCCGCAGCCAAACGCAACGTTCGTGACTAGTTGTTGCTGCTTCTGTTGCCCACGAATTTCAGATTTGAAGGTGAATACGTCCCATCCAAAACGGCCGCTGCTGCTCTGCCCTTTCTCAATGTGTTCACCGTAGTAGCTAACCTCGTACGAACAGGTGTCGTTACGACCCAAAGGAGGAGGATCGGGACAGAGCGGATGACGAGGAGACATGGCTCTGTAGGTAGCCGATTTCTTCCCATCAAAATTTGGCAGAGCTACGGGGAAGCACTTGGTGCAATCTGCGCATTGCAGCCCATTTAAATTTCAAGGATACCGTGGGTAACCGTTTAGATAAATAAACGGTTATAATAATAATCGTTTATCCACGAAATTTAAATAGACGGTTATGGATATTAACCGCGGTTATAAACGAGTAACCATTTACCTATTTATTTTATATATGTAAAATTAACACAAACCAAGTTCCTTATCGGACAAAATTTAGATCAATGTTATTGACCATAGTGCATGATTTCTATAATATAATATAGTTTTTCTTAACCACTTTAAATTTCATGGTCTATTATATATATTATGTTAATATTTTACATTCCGAGTCAAATAACCCAAAAATACTGTCTTTTAACAGTTTTCGTAACTCAAGAATATTTGGCAAATTTTATATTACCTTCATTACTAATAGTTTAAAATATTGTCTGTAAACCATTATTTCAATTATTAGAATGATATACGGACTTAAAAAATTAAAATGCAGAAATGTATGATGAATGTACCTATAACGGTGTTTAATTGGTAGAAAAACAAAATTATGACAAATTTTTCTTTTTTAATTTTCAAGTTGTTAAAAAAACACAAAGACGGGTGAAAAATGAGTAAATGGTAAAAAAGAAAGGATAAACGGGTTTAAAAATGATAAATGGATAAACGGATACTAAACGGTTACGGTTAAATGGGTACACGGTTATGGGTATGATTAACCGTTTATAAACGGTTATGGGTATGGGTATGGGTATAACCGTTTAGACAATTACCTAACGGGTAAACAGTTATACGGCTATGAGAATAAACGGTTATGAATAAATAACCGCGGTTACCCGCCCACCATAACCGTTGCCCATCCCTACACCCAAGTGAGGTCGCTCCTTGTGTCAATGGCCAGGTTGGAGTTAACTGGGGGCGTCCGATCCAGAGCTCCACGTAGAAGAAGCCACTGAATGAACGCTTCACGGGGGCCGTTATCCCACAGTTGTGCTTTGGCGGAGGGAGGAGGACATAGCCGCTGCGCGAGATTTGGAAACCTCGACTTTTTTTTTCTTGGACAAGGGTGTGGTTTTGGGGGAAGGGAATGGGCTTCATTTTCAGTGTGAAAGTAAAGGCTGTGCCTGCAACCATAGCAACGACAAGGAAGAAAATAAATGCTTTGCTAGACATCATTCCTTAAGCTTTGGAATCAACTGATTCCATCGATGTTTGAAGTTGTGTGATGATAGTGAAGGACAGTGTGGAGCATGTATGTGTGTCATATATATATTTATATATGTATGTATGTGTATATATAGTCGTTTCTTGCAATTGCATGATGCATCCGTCTAAGAATACGGTCACTTACATTTCATTGTGTCATCAATGCATGTTTTACATCGTTTCACACTTGCAATTAACCTTAAATGTATTCACCAAACAAAAGATTTAATTGTTGAAATATCTACTAACACGGTTTCATTTATCATTTTCATATCTATATCTAGCTAACCAACAATGTTTAATAAACATTTCAGGGCCCTTATCTTCTCATCTCTTTTAATTTGTTGGATTATTATCAAAATTTGAGGCTTCACAAGGCATCCTATTCCTCTAGGTAGGTGTGAGCCTAACTTTTTCTCCCATCAAAAATGTTGTATTTTTAGTATTAATGTGTATAATTTACTTGTGGGACAAGTATTGAGAGAACCTAGCCATGTGTGAACTTTAGTATTCATAATGAATATGCTAATTATATATGTTTCTCATTGGTTCAGACTTACCCAACCTAGCATTCGTAATTAGGACCTCTAAGATCAATCATCCAAAATAAACAATTATCAAAATTAATAAGCATTCACTAGTCATCCAATATACGTGAATCGTTTCCATCAAGTGCGGGACGGAATTATGAACCCTAATTCGAGAAAAATATATCTATAATTATGTCTGAAACCGTAAATTACTCGAAATCATATTATAAATTCAGGCAGCATTGACACGCACCAATAAAAAATTAAAGAGAAGAATTCGAAGATTAAAATCAGTTTAACAGTATAAATGTGAAATTTTATCTTATTATCAATTTTTGTTTATTTATTCAACCAAAGTGGATACACAATGCATATAACGCAACCAGACGCTCGAGAACCTATATTTATTTTACAAAATACGACCAATTTTATAAGCCTCTCAAAAGGCTCGTAATGTAAAGTAACATTAAAACTTGCATGTAGGCAGTGATCATCCTTGGCCTTAACCGTCTCCAACAATCCATTAAAATGTGGAGACGGCCACAGCCTACTTTGAACCAAAAAGGGCAAAAAACCCGACAGGCTGCCTTTGCGTGCTTTGGTCTCTATTACGTTGCAATTTTTTTGGCATTGTACTCAAGCATAATGTTTCTCATATTGCTCTGCCAACAGCGTTTTCTCACAATTAGAAACATTTCTTTTCCTACAACTGGCAGAATAACTTGAAAATGTGCTTCTTTAGAAAGCACTTCCAAGTAAGTCTCAACGTGCTTCTTACAAAAGCAGACATCAATTAACTTGTTCACCCAATTAACTAACACAGTTGGATCAGATTCGAACGCGAAGCAAAATGGTGACAGATGAATTAGCTAACCCTAGAACATCAATCTGTTACCACAAAATGAGTCCGGTGAAGTTACAGTTGAGTCGATATAAAGAAATGCTTAACTGAAGAAGAAGGGTTTATTACTTGAACATGTCCAGGGCATGAACCTGCCAAACACGAACATGACCTCCTCGGTCTCACATCAATCCCTACTCAAAATAACATCGACATGAATGACTTAATTTGCAACTACAACAATAAACAAAAAAGTTGAACACTAGTCGCTCGGTTTGCTCATTTAGTTGGTTCACCAGACTGAGTATTCTTGACCTCTCTGGGGCACTGAGATACATATGGTTTGAGCTGCAAGCACGAAAGGAAACGGTAATTTAGAACTACATGTATACATAAGAGTGAGGAGTAAACTGTTCAATTATAACTTCAAAGTTTTTATTAGAAGGAAATTACTTGCATCCACTCCTTGGGTGACATGGACCAATCCTACCGTCACATGTGTCAGCCTTTCAGCTCAGCAGTCATGCCATGCCAACCTTCAACTCCAGGCAAACCGACATCAGAAGTTGATGACATCAGATGTTGAATGACTTGTTGATTTTACATGGAACATAACCTTTAAATGTGTTGCCCAAATTTTTCATCGCCAACTTCTGGTGTTGCTTTGCTCAGAACTGAAGTACCTGAAGCTGGAGATGGCATGACAATTGGGCTCAAAGGCAAGGATTCTTTTTTTCTTTTGAAAAAGGGAACACGTGTCAAGATGAGATTGGTCCAAGCCAAACAGATAGGCATGAGGGTTCACCCAAAAGGGTGGATGCAAGAATCGTCCTTAGTAAAATAGCATAGTTGAAGATGTCAACAGAGCTGCAGAGCATCCATGAAATTCCAAATGGAAGCTCTAACTTAAAAGATGAATATTACCGAAGAATGGAGGAAAAGAGAAACAACAAAAGAGAAATAGAAACATGTTCACCTTGAAGTCAGTTAAATCAGGGACTACATAGTTAGGTAATTTCTCCTGCTGCACGACATACTTAGCTGCAAAAATTTTGGATAATTCGAAAACATGTCAATCAGTAATTTTTACCTGAAAATTTTGAATGAGCACATTGTCAAATTTTTGCAAAAATGGAAATGGGCAAACCTTTTCGGGTGTGGAAACCAGTCGGCTTGCAATTCTTCCCCTTGTAGTAATCCCTTGGGGCACGTTTGGAAGAAAGAATGTCAAGTGATGATGTTCGCTTTCGACGAAATGCCCTTCCTAACCCTATTATTAGTCCCAATGGCATTTTCTTTGCTTTTTTTTTTAATCACAATAACTGAATAAAGTAAACTAAAACTAATTAGCAAATATGCTTAAAACCGTCAATGCATCCTATAAAACACTACCAAAGACATCAGCTCGAGAGAAAGCAGCAGAACCGGTTCAACAACAGCCAAGCAAACAGTGGTGAAACCAAGAATTTATCTCACAACAACAAACGCCAAAATTTAAATCTTGATTAAATTTTCATACTATCTTCCAACTATCTTCGAAATATCACGGTCACAACTATCTTCGAAATGTTTTCATACTTTGAACCATAGTTGCCAGATACGAAGTATAGTTCGAGTACGGAATTCGCTAGTAACCTATAGCAACATTCGCTAGAGAGTAGACAGACAGTACAATATTCAGTTCCATTCATTCTAATTTCGTTAAAGAATGTAAATAGACATCGAATATTAATTCATCTTTCCCCAAATTTTTTTCTTTTTATTGCATACAAGACATTGCAGTTTAGCAAATATCAAAATCACTCCAAAAAGACACAAACACTTTCCAATCATTCCCACAAACAAGCAAGACTACAGATTTGATTCAGATTCATGGAACTACGAACTGCAGATTCGATTACTGATAACATTCAAATTTTTAGCCTCAACCCAGTTCAATTTTTTTGGTTTGAGACAGAAATGTCCAGACAAGCAACGAGATTTGAAGATTTTTCAATGATCCAATAGAGTTTGGGTTAGGATAACAAAACCCTTGTCATTCTTCCACACAGACATACAGAGTGAGCAATATTATTCAACAAATTCCAGGTAGAAGGAACCTGATAGGGTAGTAGAACTAGAAGGTACCTGAGAGGGCTGAGGAGTGAGGTTCGGATTTTGAAGCTGTCGTGCAAATGAGTGCCGGAGAGGGTTTAGGTTTTTCTGCTTCTCAAAACCAAGAGAAAGAATGAATCGAAAGAAAGGGAACTGGAGAGAGAAGAGAGGGGGAGCAAATAGCATATGGCCTAGGCCTGTAACCTAAAGTGGGTTGGGCTCGGCTTTCTCCTCAATTTTCTATCAAAATCCATTACACTCTACTCTTTTGAACCAGGTTT